GTAGGCTTCGAGTTTGTCGAGAACTTTCCCTGGGTCTTTTTGTTCTCCCTCTCCCCACTGGAGCGTCTTGTAGATTTCCCGGCCTTCTGGACCTATCCATGTTCCGAGCCATCCGGCTTTTTCTTCTGCTTTGAGTTTGCTGAGCGGCCCGTCGAATACAAAGCCAACATGATTGCGAAAGTGGCTAAACTCTTGGTACAAATCTTGGCTGTCCCAATCAATATGTGGGCTATCAAACGGTATCTGAGACGTCATCTAGGATGAAATTCGGTTTCGGATGGTTTGTTATATAAAGAACAAAACGCTTATCTGGGATATGAGTTCTCTGCGTTTTCGACTGCAACGAAATCGATGAATTGGCTTAATCACAATTCACAACACACTTCTCCATTAGTGCCCTTTGTTCGTCGTACTCAGAGCTTCTGCTACAACTGGAATCTCCCATGTATTTTACTTCCTCTGGGCAAAAATTGCCAAAGAAAGTTTAAAGGTTGCAGAGCGGGAAAAATAGTTCAAGAAAAGCGGCGGCGCTTGAATTATATTCGAGCTTTGGTCTCACCCCAAGGCTGTCGATTAAATTCTTCACGATTTACCTGCACGATGAAGACTCCCTTTGGACCGAATATCAGAAATTTTATTGAACTTACTCCTAACCCGATTAAAAGCTACACACCAAGGGCTCGCTTTGTGAGTTTTTGCTTGCTAAATGCTCGTTCAATTAACAACAAGACTACTATCATCAAGGACTTTGTCGTCGAAAATAATATTGATCTTCTTGGCGTTACAGAAACATGGCTTCAATCAGATGCTGACAATGAATTAATTATTCGTGACTTATGTCCTTCAGGTTATTCATTTCATCATGTTCCTAGACCTGGTTCTACTCGTGGAGGAGGAGTTGGCTTGTTATTTCGATCATCTTTCAACTTAAGTTGCAGCCGCTCAAGAAGTTTTTGTCCTTTGAATATATGGATTTGTTATTGTCAAGTACGGTCGGTTTAAAACTCAGAGTTATTATTGTTTATCGCCCACCTCCCTCGACCTTGAATGGTTTAACATCCTCATTGTTCCTTGATGAGTTTTCTACGTTCCTGGAGCACTATATCACTGATCCCGGTGGACTATTATTAGTTGGGGATTTTAATATACATGTTGACACCTGTTCTTCCCAACACTCAACTAAATTTCTCCAATTGTTGGATTCTTTCAATCTTACTCAACATACACATGGCTCAACACATAAAGATCGACACACCTTAGATCTTATGATTACAGAATCTGATGATAATATTGTTTCGAATTTAACAATTGGTTCTCCTTTTGTCATCTCTGATCATGCTGCTGTTCACTTCCAGCTCTCGCTTAATAAGCCGCCGCTCGACAAGAAGATTATTTCATTCAGAAAGCTTCGATCTATTGATTTTGACAATTTCTGTGCTGATGTTATGAATTCGAGCCTTCCTGATCTTTTTGCCTCGTCATCTTCATCCTTGGATTATTTGATTGATCAATATAACAGAGTCCTTACTTCCATACTCGAGACTCATGCTCCACTGCAAACCAAGATAGTTACTTTGCGTCCCGCTGCACCTTGGTATTCTGAGGAGATAAATAATTTAAAGAGATCCCGTAGAAAACTTGAACGACGCTGGCGAATGACCAAACTTCCTTCTGATCGTAAGTTGTTTATTGAGGGATGTGATGCTGTCAACAAGTTAATTCGTGACTCCAGGAAGAATTATTTCGCATCATTAATCAATGAGAATCAGTCAAATTATAAAGAGCTTTTTAAGATAATTGATAAACTACTACAAAGGAAAACAGATATTCAATATCCCCCCTGCAAATCGCCCACTGATCTTGCTAACAAGTTTACTGAGTACTTCACTACAAAGATAGATAGAATACGGGGTCATATAACGACTGCTGCTTTCTCTCATCGAGATACAGTTCCTGTGGTTGACAACGCCTGTCCATATTCTTTTGATATTTTCAAAACGGTAACAGCGGACGAAGTTCTTACATTTATCATGAATCTGGCTGCTAAGTCATGTTCTCTTGATCCTCTTCCTGGTTATGTTACAAGAAATGCACTTAGTGTTCTGTTGCATTTCATTTTCAAAATAACAAATATCTCATTGGGATCTGGACAGATGCCTTCGCAACTCAAGGTTGCCATGTTACGCCCGCTCCTTAAGAAACCTTCTTTGGATCATACTCAATTCTCCAATTATCGCCCTGTATCGAATCTTTCATTTATTAGCAAAGCAATCGAAAAATTGGTAGCTAATCAACTTATCTCCTACATTAACGAATATGAGTTAAATGAGACATTCCAGTCGGCGTAAAAGCAATATCACAGTACTAAAACTGCACTTATTCGTGTTCACAATGATATTCTGTCTGCCATTGATAATCGTCGAATCGTAATTTTACTGTTGTTAGACCTTTCCGCTGCCTTCGATACAGTCGATCATACCATCCTCCTCTCTTGTTTACGTGTACGGTTTGGGATAGCTGGAAAGCCGCTATTATGGTTGCAATCTTATTTATCGAATCGCACGCAATATGTCTCCGTCGATGGTGGTACTTCTACGAAACATGACCTTAAATGTGGAGTGCCACAAGGATCTGTCTTGGGACCCATTTTGTATTTGCTTTATACTTCGCCGCTTTCAGATATCGTAAAGAAATTTAACCTGAGCTATCACTTTTATGCTGACGACTCACAGCTTTACTTGTCTTTCCAACCAACCGTACTGGGTGATAGGGATCTAGCGGTTTCTAGCATCGAGAGCTGTGTGAATGAAATTAATCATTGGATGATGGTTAATCGCCTTAAATTAAATAAAGACAAAACTGAATTATTGGTGATCTCCGCTAAACATCTTCCAAGACCACTCCTTCACGAAATTTCAGTTGCTGGTGAGACTATTCATTCCGTGCAAAAGGCGAGGAATATCGGCACTATGTTTGATAGCCATTTTTGCTTTAACGATCATATTACTGACATTTGCAAATCTTCATTTTATCATTTGCGAAATATTAGCTATATCAGGAAATATCTTTCAGCGACCACTACTGAATTGCTGGTTCATATGTTTGTATCTTCGAAGCTGGATTACTGTAATTC